TGTTATTTTCTCCAATAGCAGGTTCTATGTCAAAACCTTATTTAATCACATGGGGTTTCTTTCCATCATGTATCTTGGTTAAGTGTCCAGCAAACCAACTGCAGGGTATTTCTGATACCCTTGGGCATGTGGCACTCTCTGTACACCATGTTCATTGCTGACTGTACTCTTCCACCTTGAGGATCCGTACCTAAAATGACATGGGCTATAGAAGAAATGCCAGTTAAAGTGTATGGGGTTGAAAGTATTGCCGCCAACATACCTTCTTACCACACACATTCACACAAAGCTTCCCCAAAGCCCCTAACTTCCAGCATTGCCAAACCAGGCTAAGGCATCCCATCAGGCTCCTCCTTCTCACTAAGAGAAACTTTGTGCCCAGAAGTCCCACGCCCTTGTTCCTGGAGCCTTGGAAAGGGGGGTCTATTATTTAACAAAGAAACCAGTTCTTGGTTTCTAGGTTCTCTCAGGCTTCCCACCCAGATGGAAATGATCTGAGTCCAAAAGAACATAAACCTCTTTTCTTCTTCATCTTACTTCTCCTCATCCTCCTCAAAGTGCTCTATAGTGATGGCTTGCAAAGGGTTGTGGCGTAGAAACACACATCTCTACTATTGGGGAATGTCTGTGCCTGTGCTCTCAAGGCATTGTTTAAAATAATTTATGAGGAATGGGGAAATGGAATATACAGGGGAGGGATGGGTGGGGCTGTGGATGTTCAGGGAATGGAGGTACCCATGTAGCAGCTTGGGGACCCTAAACATTGCTTAATGAACCTCAGTTTGCTCCTTGTCAGGGTGAGTGGTCTCTTGTCCCTTCCAGCCATGTCATTCTGCATCTTCAGGGCTAGCTTCTTGATCATTTTTGCTTTCTCTCTTTTTGTATGTTTTGAAACAGTGTCTCATTATGTAGCCCTGGCTAGCCTTGAGCATGATGTATAGGGCAGGCTGGACTCACACTTACAGAGATCTACCCATCTTGGTCTACCCAGTGCTTATACTAAGGGTGCCTGGCTCATTTATCTCTTCAAAGCCCAGCCTGGCAACTTAGGCACCATGGACCTCTTGATCATTTGGGGATACTTGTCTTACCTTCAGAGGGAACTTCTTGTTCATTTTATTGTCACCATGTTCTAAAGACCAAATGGCAGCCTAAATTAAAGAAAGGCATGATGAAAGGGGATGGAAACCATATGTGCATGTGTTTATGTATGTACATCTGTGTATCAATGCATGGCATGTTAGAGGGTGCAGTGTGTGTGTGTGTGTGTGTGTGTGTGTGTGTGTGTGTAAGTGAAATGGGATGAATCCTAATCAACACTAGTTTCCTATTGATTTCTTCACTGGATATATTTCTCCTTAGAGGAACTATGGTTCCTGATTTCATGTCTGAGCTTACTATGCCTCCTACGGGAGAAACTGTCCCTTGTCTTTTCCATTACAGATTGAGATGTGCTTGATTGACAGCTCTGGAAGAAGGCCATGCTTTCCCAGAAAACCCCTTCGCACCCCCTCCTCCATTGGGGAACCTCTGTAGACGGATCTGGCTTCCAGCCCAATAGCCTGAGCAGTTGCTTCTGTTAATGTTTATCTTTGCAGAATACTGTAGATGAGCTAGAATGAGCTCAGCCATATGCTTAGAAGCCCTGGTTTGATCCCAGGGTTGAGCCGTAGTATGCAGAAGCCTTGGGCTTGATCTCCAGCACTTTGTAACCTGGGCATAGGGCACAGTACCACATACACACTAAGGAGTAGAGGCAGGAGGATCAGAGGTTTTTTTGTTTTGTTTTTCAAGATAGGATTTCTCTGTGTAACAGTCCTGCCTGTCCTGGAACTGGCTTTGTAGACCAGGCTGACCTCAGAACTTACTGAGATCCTGCTGCCTCTGCCTCCCAAATGCTGGGATTAAAGGCATGTGCCACCACTGCCCAGCAAGGATCAGAAGTTTAAGGCCATATATACATACATACATACATACATACATACATACATACATACAGGGATACATAAATACATACATACATATATACATACATACATACATGCATACATACATACATACATACATACATACATGCATACCCCACGGATGTTAAATGATAATAACAACAAAACAAATGCCAGTTAAATTAGGGATTTTTTTTTTCTCCATGAGAATGACTCACAAAGATTGTAGTTGGATGGGTGGAGAGAAAGATCTGATAGTGGTCCATGGCTCTTATGCAATTGTCAAACACCGAGGCTGGATTAGTGGGGGAAAATTGATGAGGAAACTGATGGGGGACCTTCAGAAAATGCAAGTAGCATTGGTGGTAAAAATGTCCTTTAGTGATTTAAAATGCAAATGTGATATTTGGCCAGGCATTGGGCTAAGATTTTTACATATGTCATCATCCCTATTTTTAGATATGTAGGTTGTTTTCAAGGCTTTTTTTTTTTCTAGTTTAAGTAGTACATAGATGAATATCTTTTCATATAATTGTGTGATTTACAGCATCCTGTTTAGAGTCCATTCTTGCAAGCACAATTATTGGGCATGGGATTTTAAAAAAAATCACAAAACTTGAAATACATTGCAGGCTTGCTTCAGTGTGACATTACAGTCCCACTCAAAAAAGCACACCCATGCCTACTTCCTCTCAAAGACTTAGAAAAACCAACCCTTTGTTGACGCTGAGCCATCAGCCAGCTGTATGACTCAACGTCTTAATAATTTAAGCTGAAAACCCAGCTGCATTTATTCTAGAGCCATCATTCTCAAGCTTCCTAATGCTGCGACTCTTTAATACAGTTCCCCATGTCATGGTGACCCCAACCATAAAATTATTTTTGTTGCTACTTCATAACTGTAATTTTTCTACTGTTATGAATTGTCATGTTAATATTTGTGTTTTCCAGTGGTCTTAGGCAACTCCTGTAACAGGGTCAAATCAACTCAAAGGGGTCTCAACCCCGAGGTTGAGAATCACTGCTCTAGAGCCTTAAGAAAAGATGGAGTTGCTCTTTGATTGGCTCCTTTTCAGCTGCAAGTTCAAGGTATTGTAGGGGGGAGAGGAAACGTGTTCCTGCAAGTTCTTTCGTGCCTCTCTTCTGTTCTTCTCTCTACTTCCAACCCCTGGAATGTTGCTCTTTAAGGTGGCTGTATCTGGAAGGCCCAGGATATGGGTTCTTCTCTAAGGCGATACCCTTGACAATTCTCAAGGTTTGATGGTAGGATTTCCCTAACCTTGCAATACTCCTGGTCCCCCAAAGGAAATGGCTGTTTCCATGTTCTCAGGCCCCTGGCAGCCTCCTTTGCAATGCACCTCAGGCTTGGTTGTCACCTTTGAAAGGTGGGAGGGTGTACCTTCAGACCCAAAGCTGTATATACAAAGGGGCCTGTTGGCCTTGGGTTTCCCCTGGAAGTGACTTTGTACTCCAGTTTAAAAGCATGAAAGGGGCTCCACACATGCCAGTAAGTATTCTCTGAGCCAGACTCTGTACCCTGAAACAAACAGGCCATGATGCTTACATACCTTCTGGAAGGATGAAGAGAGGCTAAAGTGAGGCTTGTCTCCCTCTGCTGAAGCTAAGCTTGTGATCAAAAGCTATTCGGTTAAGGGAAGACATAGGGAACAATGGGATTGAGGTGATAGAGGCAAACTAGGAGTGGAAATGAGAAGGGGGTTGGGGAATGAGACATGTGAGTGCTTGGGGACAGCAGGTTCCAGGTGGAAGCGACAGTAAACTCAAAGGCCATCAGAGTACAGCTGGATTTCCCATCCTAGCAAGGAGGCTAGAAGGAGAAGGAAGAAGGACATGGAACTGTGGGTAAAAGCCTGAAAAGCCATTATGAGAACTTGGAGTTCTACATTACACTGACTCAGAAGGTTGTCAGCAAGGGAGGGGCAGGATATATACCCTGTTTGAAGAGGTTGGGTCTGGCTCTGGTTTAATGGTAAGCAGAGGTGGCAGCAAGGGGCCACTGGTTCCTGCTACCTTGTAGATGAGAGAGGCAGTGTGAAGTGGCCCACTCAGGACATGCTGCAGGCCTCTCAGTACTCTGTGAGAGAGCTCTAGCTAGGAGTGGGTAGGCATGGCAGCCTTCTCTGGCATCCTTCCTGCCCCCAGAGAGGAGTAATGGCTTGTGTAATAGTCTACTCTCTCCTTGAAATCTTGACTCCAGGTTTCAATCAGTTTTCAACAACTCTTAGCCATTCTGGAGAGAAGCTCACTGATTCAAATGGACTCATGCCTTTCTTATCAAGTTCTTTCTTCACGAACAAATGCAGTGGGCCTCCAATGTGGTAGTCAGGACTTGCTTGTCCTCCATGGCCAAGCCTTTTGTTGGATGGGAACTTAGAAAAGTCACCCCTAGCTGTAATAGTTTTCCTTAGTTGGTAGGATTATGGTATAAATTGTGCTTTTAGTAATCTTTGAGCCTTGGAAGAGATAAAAAGTTTTCAGAAGCAGAGTATGTTGGTTTCTAAGTCTATCCCCCACATGCCTGCAACTTCCCTGTGCTGTTCTTTTCAATTAGTCATGTTTTTATGTAATTACTCTGCTAAAGCAGTGATTTCCAGCTCTTAATGGCATGAGAATTGCTGGGGAACTTTTTTCTCTTTTAAAGGCCAGGTGATGGTGGTGCACACCTTTAATCTCATGCTAGGGGGACAGAGGCAGGAGGATCTCTGTGAATTCAAAGCCACCCTGGTCTACAGAGCTAGATCTACACAGGGACACCCTGTCTCAAAAGGGGGGGGAGCAAATCTCCAATGTTGAGAAAGTTTAGGGAGTTGAGAAATACACATACTAAGTGATGATGTCACTGATTTTTCGTAGTTTGATAATCTTTTATTTGCTTTTCTTTTGATTTGCATAAAAATGAGATTTAATGCCACAGTTACTGTGTTGTAATCTTTTGGATACTGAAGCTGCCTTATAGGGGTTTAGAACTGTGGTTGTGAGTCTTTAAGAATTTTGAGGAAACTACTGACATTATGTATTTGATTGACTTTAAAGGGTTGTGTTGTAGCATGAAGAACACATTTAAATAAAACAAGGTTCTGAATCAAGCATTAGAAGAAGAAGAAGAAGAAGAAGAAGAAGAAGAAGAAGAAGAAGAAGAAGAAGAAGAAGAAGAAGAAGAAGAAGAAGAGAAAAGTCGCAAAGCCAGGAACCACCTGCAGGGGCATCCACACTGATGAGTCTGGCCAGGACCACAGAACTCTTTCATAAATTGCCTTGGGCATGATGTTTTGTCATGGGCAACAGAAAAGTAACTGAGATGGGGATGTTTCCCAAGGTGACAGGAGCCCTTACTAGAACCCTGCTCAGGAGACTGGATTCCCATTGCTGTCTTGCTAGTTGGCCAAGTGTGCGGTTGGGAACATGGGTCCCTTCTGAGACTTTGTCTGCAACTTGACCATGAGTCCCAGCCAGCTATATTTCTAAGATGCTGTCAGCCTTAACATCTTATAATTCTAAGTGACAAGTATGAATAAGAAATAAGGAACAGAGGTGGCAGATGAAACCAACGCACCCCCTTGTACAGCGGTGGCCCAGGTCTGGATTCTGAGCAGCTCCTGCATACCTTTTTTGATATCAATTCTGTCCAACTGAGTACATTCTGTTAAGAAGATGAGCAAACCCACAGCTAGGGAAAGGAAGTGAGCCTCCATGAAAGGGACTCTGTCCTGGTGGCTATACTCTCTGCAAAAGTTTCTAGTCTTGCCAGTCCCGGTGTCTGGGTTGCTGTTTCACATTTGAGGGGAATGATTGATTAACAAAAATGGAACAATTAGCTCCACTCACCTTTCCCCCACCCTAACAGGTCTGCTCCCTCCAGCTCCAGCCTTCAGGATTGAACTTTTGATCCACTCCTCATGCTGTCTGTTGGTCTTATTTGTCCCCTGCAGGCGCTTTGCTGTATAAGGTTTAAGTAAGAAAATGGCTAGCTTCCAAAATGACAACCGCAGTCCAGTCTGGGGCTGAATCCAGGTCAGATAAGCCAGATACCTTTCATCTTACCTGGAAGCTAACACCTTCCTCTCAGGTCTAACAGGAGGAGAGATCAGGGAATTCAGCTCTAGGTCTCTTTCTCCTCTCACTTTACTTTGGCTTCCTACTATGACTGATAAATATTGCTGTGAAATCCTCCCATGTGTTAAAGGGACAATGTTTTCCAGACATTTACTCTTACTGAAGTGTGTGAGTGTGTGTGTGTGTGTGTGTGTGTGTGTGTCCACATGTGTGGTCTACACCAAGGCCTGTTATTCTTTTTTAGCCTAATCTTTTCCTAGCAGGCTCTGAACCTAGATGTCTATTGTTGTCTGAACAATGATGTGACAACTAACATTGCCATTCATGCTGTGGCTGAAAGAACTGTGTTCCGGCAATTCTTTTCCTGCTGTGTAATTATGAGAAGTGTCCCTGGCTCGGTTCCTGTTTGGAACCTAACATTGTCCTGGGTCTTTGTGTGACAGGTGTGTGGAGCAGTGAGCACCCCGCCACCCTCAGTTCTGCTGTCTGTACCAATGGCACTATTGCAGTTGGTGAACTATGCTGGTGCTCATGTCTTGAGGTGCTCCATGGGTTTTGTCCTCAGAGCCAAGTTCAATCAATTGAACCACTGAGCAGCTGTCACGTTCTTTAAGAAAAGTTTTGCTTGGCTCAGCCACTAAAAGTGGGTAACAAATCTCCAAGCATGGAGTACTGGAGAACTCTCCAGTACTGTAGTCCTTCACTTGCAGCCCCCGAAATCTAGACTTTTAATTGTTTGCAGTCAGCGGCAGTCCAAAAATATTGCATGGAAAATTCCAGGAATAAACAGATTGTATCTGAAATTGTGTGCCCTTCTGAGTGATGTGATGAAATCTCACACTATGTCTGTACCTCTGTGTGTGTGACATGCCCTTTGTCCCGGATGGGTCCCCTGCCTCAGGAAAGGGGTTTAGTGGATGAAAGGCAGTACAAACAGGATGGCCGAGGAAGGTCAAGCTTCCCATGGTGAAGCATGCTCTAGAGCCAGGTGTGTGCTCAAGTCATGGAAAAGATGGAAGAGGGAAAGGACTTGGCTGTAAGAGGACATGAGAACATTTTGGTTTTTAAGACAGGGTTTCTCTCTGTAGCCCTGGCTCTGCTGGAACTCACTCTGTCCTTGTTGGCCTGGATCTGACTGCCTCTGTTTGCCAAGTGCTGGGATTAAAGGGGTGTGTGTGTGTGTGTGTGTGTGTGTGTGTGTGTGTGTGTGTATGCATTCGTGGGGGGGGTGCTTTTGCCCATGTGCTACACATGCACAAACACACATGTACTAGTCCCTAGAAGTACGTTCTTGCCACTTAGCCAGACTTGGAAATGGGCTGGACTGCTCTGAAGTGCCAGCCTTGTCCTGGTAGATAAAAGCCTGCCTGGAGAGTGTCTGGTAGAGCAAGCTCTTATCTCTTTTGAGAACAGATGAGGTTGCTTTGGCAACTGTACAGCAGATGGAAAACATCAACCTGGTTTCTGCGAATTGCAGGGGCCTGGCCATCATGTGTAGTTTATGTTGCCCTCTTTCTAGCAGACATCTTTGTGCTGCTACATAATATCTGAGGGTGCTGCTGCCCCTGTTCCTCCGTGCAAAGGACAGCACAGACAGAGCTCCACAAATGAACATGGTTTGCTTGCTACCCACTCCCCCCTGCCCCCAGGGGGTTGTGTCACACCTTCCAGGTTGTTGCTTTGTACACAGGCTTGTCTGACACAGCAGCTCAGGCTGTCCGATGGCCCCAGAGCTAGCAGTGGGTGCAGCCTTGGAGGGAAGAGTCGGTGCTTCTGTGGGGGTCTCTTTCCCTGTTTTGAAAAGGAATACCCTGTCTTTTCTGCCTGCATCACCCTTGGCCTACCTTACTGGAGGAGAGTAAAGGACTGAGCCACACCCAGTGGGGGAGCCCTCTTTGTCCTGCTGGAGCCAAATAACCCTATGGGCCCGATCCCTTAGCAAGGATTTTTATTGGCTTTTCCTAGATCAGACCTTGTCTTTTGATTACCCTTTGGGGCACATATGCTTATTGCTTGTCTTCATGGGTGCCAGCTCCAGCTGTGCTCAAGTGCTGTGTGGTGAGAGAGAAAACTGTGGGCCAGGGCAGGCATTTGGTACCTAGTCCATGGTATCTGTCTCCAGGAAAATGTTTAAGACAAATAGGTTACCTCTACTCTTTTTTTCCTGCTCCCTCAAGACCCATGAAGGTTTGGAACATGGTGGGTAGACGCTCCACCAAATACTGTGGCTAAGTAATTTACAAAATGAGGGGGGATATCAGGCTTGAAGGGCTTGGCCTAAGCCCCTTGGTGAGAAGGGCATCTTAAGTTGCTGTTCCACGCTGGTACCTGATTCCTGTTGTAGACTCAGGAACACCTCTGTGAGGTCAGTAGTCCTGAACGGAGTCTTTCTGATGACATTACAGCTGGGTGAGAATGACCACCATGTGTCCATTGATCATCACACGGAGGAGGCAGGCCCAGCCACCACAGGTGGATCCTGTCAGGGTTAGAATTGGTTCCTTTGCCTGGGACCTCCTCCTTTTCCCAAGCTTCTGTTGGTGCAAGTTGTTCCAGGAAGCAGTGACAGTGAACACATGGGCTAAAAAAAAATGAATAAATAAAAATGCTAGGCTGTTGGTAGCATCATGGATTCTTGACCATGAAATCATGTCAGGGTTCCTCATGATGCTGAGAGATTTCCCAATACGTCCTTGAGTCTCGCTTTGCTGTCACAGCCAATGGACATGAGAAAGTTGGGGGGAGTGGGTCTCTGGCTTGCCTTCCCCTCCTTCCTCTTTTGCTTCTCTTCTCCTTCCATACTCTGGTCTATGCCCGGAGACTGATGAAGCTGACCCGAGCTTGTAAAGCATTCTCCATTTCTTTCCTGCCTATGGGGTGACTGATGTCCTTTTCTTTCCAACTGTTGTTGTCATGAGGATTTCCTAAATATGAGAGATAAACTCTTTCCTGAGAAAGTCAGATAAGCCAGTCAAATGCAGAGGGTGAGCCCATTGCATTGTTGGAGCAGAGCACTGCATTGTTGTAGCATAGATTCCAACATGGCCTGTGACGTTTATGTGAAGTTCAGGCAGCTCTTGAGAATGCCAAGGAAAATATTTTCAAACCACTGAGGCTTGGGGATTTCATTTCTCCTGTTACCTTTCTGATGATCTCAGTTGGCTGTGACCTTTACCCTGCCGCCTTCAGAGTCTTGTCAGTTCAGAGAAAGCTACAAGTCTCAGGGTGGGGTTGGGGATGGTTGTTCAACCTCTTGACATTGTGATACAGGGTTGTAATCCACTGTGTTTGGGCCCCATTCACAGCTATCCTGGGATCCACTGATTGGATATCTGTATCTCTACATGGTTACAGAAATCCCTCAGGTTCTTCTGTCAGTTCCTTACTTAGCTAAGTTCCAAAAACAGACTCCTTTGTTAGAGGGGGAAAAAAGTAGTATACTCCCTTTAAAATTGCTTCTTCCTATAAACCTCTCCATCTTCCTAGGTGTCCGTGGAGGAAGAAGTAACTGAAATTACAGTTTAAAGAAACTAATGCTATGTTGGAGAGATGAACCAGTTAAGAAACCCAATGCTAGGTTCTTGATTAGTGCTAGGATCTGGGACTATTTTAATTTTCTTCTTCAAATTTGCTTGCATTGCTTAATGAAGAAGAAAAAAAAAGAATGTGTCATTTCTCTAAAAACAATCAAGTCATTCAAGATAAATAAATTTAGAAGCAAACAACTAGAAAGGCCCACGAGCAAGTCAGCTGTAAAGTCCCTGAGGATAGAGACCTGAAGGCTCTGCTGGGCATCAGATTAGCACCTGTGTGTATTAGATCTTTTGTTGCTTCTGCTTGGATTTTATTTCGACCCACTGGCCTACTTTCCTTTGGGGCCTGAGTGGTTCCCCTCAGCTCCTTTACAGGGCTGTTCTTCTCTCTGTCAGGTCACCTGGGAGGTCCTTAGAGGCCAACACAAATGTTTAGTGTCTAGCAGCACCAATGGGGAAAAAAACAAAAATAAAAACAAAAAAACATTTTCTGCTTGAAATGAATGTTGGTTTAGAGGTCAAATGTGCCCATCATCTCAATTGCGCTTGACGTCACAGGGAAGAACAGGGAGTAAGGGGGAGAGCCTTTGGCCTCCTCACCCAAGCCAAAGCACTTGCTATGTTGTGCAGCAAATTTAATTAGCCAAAACAAAACAATTGGAACTGGGTCCTGCCCTCAGATGGAAGGGACATTAACCTCTGCCCGGCACAGCCTGGCCCAAGGTTGCATTCAGTTGTGTCCTGATCAGGCAGCTATTTCCGGAGCTGGGAGAGAGAACTTGTCATTTCATACAGCCCTCTCCACGTGGAGGACAAATGCCACTTGACAGGGCTGCAGGCCACTCTCTTCTGCCGTGTTCAGTGGGGAAGGGACCATTTCTCACACACCTTTGGCAGCCTCAGCACTTTTTTTCTGGGAGCCGAGCCAAGCATTCCTACCCTTTGGGAGCTGGCCCAAGAGGAGATTCTATGAACTTCTGCTCATTGGTTGAGCAATCTCCAAAAGTCAGTTGGGTGAGCTTGGCAAAAGGAGTGGTGGGACTGGAGTCACTCCGCTTACTTCATCACCAGCTACATTAAACAAAGGGCTTGTGTTTGTGGTTCTCTGCTGACGAAATCCAGTGACTCGGACAAAGGCATCGCATGAGTCCTGTTGTAATAGCTGATCCTCTGCGCCCATTTGATCTCAATTTCCTTCCATGCTTGCTCTAACTTCAGAGATGCGAAGAAAGTGGTGTTTGTACAAGAAACCCAGGCTAGGTTCTGAGGGTTTGGATTCCATAAGCTCTTATGGTCTGGGACATTTTAACTGGGTGCCTCAAAGGCAGGTCAGAGAGACGTTGACAAAGGGCTTTATTTTCTAAATGCCAGAGCTGGTCTGGTCAAAGAATGGTATTCTTGTGCCCTGGAGTAGCAGTGAGTAGAGGGAGGTGGTGAAGGAAGAAGGCCATGAGGATGGTAAGAGTCTCTGCAGCTCAGGAGTTAGGAAAGGTAAGACTTTTCATTACAGATGGAAGGAACAAGAACTAGATGCTGTTTGGAGTGAGAAGGCCAAGTAGTGGCATCATGTATTTCAAGAGTG